AAGGGTATGCAAGTGTGACCGTTATATTGCAATATGAAGAAGAACTTCCATAGTCGCAACTGAACTAAACTAAATTAACACCACAACCCAGCCCACAAAACAACCCAAGCATGGTTCAGTTAAATAAAATATAGTAAGAGAGGGAATGCCCAGCCGGATTTGTTGAAACTAAATGGCCAACCTATTCCCATAAAAAAAAGGCCAACCTACACTACCTTGGGCGGATCCTTCTCCACTCCCCCACTCCCCCACCTCCTCTACTGCCCAGTATCCGATTTTTTTGGATCTTCTATGAGGTGAAGGCTGTCGCATTTCAAGCCATGATTTCTTTATTAAATACATTCATTATGATTTTCATTTCATGTTAATTAGTGGTGGTGTGGGCCGGGCCGGCCGGGTTGGCGTATCAAATAATAATTAGCAACTTTGAGAGGCAATTTTGGACAAGAATTGTTGACACAGTCGCAATTAGCAATGTTGTTAAAACGGAACCGGACATCGATCCGGATTAGTAAAGGGTTCAAGGTTTATCAAATAACCGGTGGTTAATCGATATTAAAAATCGATCATAAACCGGTGTTGACTTACTTGGTAGACTTAACAATTATTTTTTTTTTACAATTATTGTTTCACTTATTAGAGATAAAAGAATAAAGTGAGAATTATTAAAACTGAAAAAGCATAATTTGGGCGGCTGCTAGGTCTTTTTTGGGAAAAGTGAACTGATTTTTCTTTTCTTTATATTTTATTCTGTACTTACCTTCTTTTGTTTTTGAATTTTTAATTGCAACAAAATAAAAGGAAGGCGCATGTTTGATTTTAAGAAGGTGGGTCGTTCCCCTAAAAAAAAAAAAAAAAGAAGGTGGGTCGTGTGTTCCGTGACACACCCGCCTCTTGAACTCTAAATGGCCAACCTTCTCCACTCCCCCACGAGGCCACAAATCCTTCTCCACTCCCCCACTATCCCACTTTCCACACACACACGTACTCCACTGCATGCGGCCAAGTAAATCACGTGTGTAGAATCACTTTCTCTCCTTTATATAATGGAGATACCACTTTCTCTCATGTTACAATTTCCGTTTACTACTTCCCATACAAAACACTTCGGTTCCATTGACCGTGCGAATTGCATTCAATATGGCGGGCCTGCCTCAATTCAATCAGTAAGTACTGCTCATGCATCCAACAAATACTACATCATGTAATTTCGATTCTTTTTCACTACTTAATGCCAAAACTTACAGTCCAATATATAGGCTTCCCCATGGTTTTATTGCTAATCTGCAATATGATGATGCTCTTGAAATTTGTGAGCGTGCTGACACCATCGATCTCATTATGTTGCAAGTGGATGTCGAAAATCAGGTAACTAAACAAATAAATTTCTTTTTAATCGTACGCCTTTTGTGGCATGCTGCATTTTATCGATTTGCTTTGACAATATTCGTTTCTGTGTTTACATCAGGGCACCTCTTTTTTGTTATCCGGACGTGTAACGAATTTGACGACGTCCTGGTCCCCTGCATCCAGAATCCATTTCGTCCACCTCACAATTGAGGACGAATTCATTGGTGTTGACATTGTCTTCCCGTCATCACAGTTACGAACGATTGTTGAATCTGTATTCAGTCATGCAGATGTTGTCAATGCTGACTACATGGCCCTTCTGAACATGCTTGGAGAACAGACATTTGAAGTCATGGTCACAGTCGGTCCCTGGAACGATGCATTTGGTTATTGTGAACTTGTGTTGGTGAAATTATTTTTGCCTTTGTTGAATTGAGTACCATGTCATGAACAATGAGACAATGTATTGAGTTTTCTTATTTTGGACTTGCATGTTATTTGTCGTAATACTCAACTAGATTAGATTTGTGATTAGTAAAATTTCATGTAAGTATTTTTATTGTGATTAGCTAATCTTCAAATGTATTTCTAACTTATTATGAATGTTCATTCATATTACATGTTCGTCTTCAACGAATTGCAAAATTGCAACAATCTTATGATAATATAAAACAAGGCTCATTTCTCGACACTATCATTATAGATATTGTAACTCCATTTCCTTAAACAAATGCGGCCAACGGGCCGGGCTATAGGCTAGTCCTTTAAATATAGTAGAAAGTAGGGTTGACAATAGTTTCGGTAACCATATATTTTTTTAAAGTCGGTAACCATAATCATATAGTCGGTTCTTAGTTTTTTTTTTGAGTAACCAGATAATCGTTAAACAAGTGATTCGATAAGGTTATACCAAAATAACCAATTGATAACCTAATCAACATAAGTCGCCCTCCTTTTTTCAATCATGAATTTGGTAGATTTTTTCCTATATTCATATGTATTCCTTTTTTTTAATTGTTTTCATTGAACAATTGATAATTGAACATAGATATTAATCCACAATCAACTTAATCCAACACAAGTACACAATAACACCATTATGTCATCAAATCCTCCATTAATATATGGTAGAGTTTTGTGTACTTTTCTCCATTTCAAATTTCCGCAACGAGAGTGAAAGTAGGAAGGTCATTTTGTCTTTACACATTTATTATTTATTTCATATAAAAATAGCAATATCAAGATTTGAACCCGGGTCTCTTCAAACAAAAATAACAATCACAACCAGTTACACTAAGCAAATTTATTGAATCCTTTTTTATACAAAAAATAGACAAAGTTAATCTCTGAAAATCAGAGGACTTTTTCATCATAATTAGCAAGCTCTCCTTAATTTTTGCTAAAGGTAAATGGGTAATTGGCTAACATAGAAGAAACTAATTACGTAACTACGTGTTGTATCCTTGCATTTTTCAATTTAAATTTAAATTTTTTGTTTTTTTTTTATCTTTGTTCTTTTCTCTTTCTAACTTCCTCCGAAATTTCATCCATCGTGCAATAGTTTGCGCCTTTCACTTCCCAGTACAAGACTGTCATTGAAAATCAATCTTCAGGTATCTCTTGGCACTACGGTTTTATTGTTGGGGATTTTAAGCTGGGCGAGTAGAAGATTTCACCTCTGATATCAATTCATGGCGAATAGAATGGAGTTCATCAATAACTGAAGTTGTAGAAGGAAGATTAGAAATTGAATTTTTGGTTGAATATATGCCTATTGAGATAGAAATTTGGTTGTACAACGGAGAGTGGTGGCTATTGGATCTTTAGGTTTATGGTTTTTGCAACTGTCACAACCTATTTCTATCTTAAAACGAGGAATCACTGATTGACTGGAACTAATAGATAAGGAGTGTCTAATTTTGCGTCTTATTACTTTGATCGAGTCTATTCGTATGTTGGAAATAATCCTGATTTTTTCGTTTGCTCTCAAGTTGTGATGGTCCCCTCTTAGCTGAGTTTTTAGTATATAGATGACTTGAATCAACAACTCTCCATTTCTTTTTGATTAGTGACATATTGTTTCTAAAAGGAGAGCATTGAACCCTTTATATAGGATTGTGAGGTTTAAGATTTAGTTTCAAACTATCTATGGGTTGTGTGAGAATTTCAGTGAGCTTTTATACTCTATATTTCTTGACTGTAAAAAAAAAAAAACTAACCAATAGCATTTTAACAGGGACTTTATTAGCATTATGAAGATGGGGTCAATGATACATTTTTATATTTTATATTCTTAAATGATTATGATATTTCTCCGAATGTTCAACCTGTATATTATTTCTTTATGTATCATCTCGATCGAATGATTATCAATAAGATTAAACGGGTTAATAGACTTAAAAGCATGGTTCAGGAAACCGTACCGGATGTCATACCGGATTCGTTTGTGGTAGGGTATTTTATGGTACGACCGTGGTTCTACCGTTGTGTACCGGTAAAATATCGTTTTTGTAATAATAAAATATTTAAAAAAAAATCGTACCGGCAAAATAAGAGTACCGTTTCGGAGTAAAACCGGAATATACCGGATAACAAATCTAAATATCCTAATCAATCACATATGAAAAGTTGATACTTTCAAGATCATTCACTTCTAAAATTACACAAATCCCTTCTAAATTCATCTATTGGCTTACTAATTCTCTTGCATGCACAAATTCCTTATAAATCCATCATTTTTCTGTTCACTTCTAAAATTAGTTAAAAGTAACATAAAAAATAATCAAATATGAGCATTCCGGCCAAAGGCCGGGTTATAAGCTAGTTTGATTAAAGCAGCAGACAATAATCAGAGACCCAATAGAAGCCATATTATCTTCTCAGTCTAATCCTTGATGCCTATATTTGAATTGCCGAGTGATGCTCTTTGCCTCTTTCAATTTATGGTTCAGAGTGAGAGGAAATTGGAAAAAGACAAAGAGGATCAACATGCGAAAGAGACTGTTTGTTCGAAACTTGATAGAAGTTGTCGTTTTGGAGGAGAGAAACAAATATATTTATACAAGTATCAGTTACACCGAAAGTCATTTCAACCTACATGTAACGACATCGCCAACAATATAACTATTGTACTAACCGAAAAATGGATATCACCCTACACGGAATAACTCAACTAATTACTCCTCTGTGGATATTTTTCCTTTTCCAATGTTTTAGAAACCCTAGTGTATCTACCGATGAGACCTGAATACCGGATACTAGACCAAACCGATTAACAGTTTTGATAGTAGAATACGGTTCAACCAAGTCTAAACCAAAATTTTATTAGTACAAAGTACACTACCATTAACTTTTACAATATAGCCTCCAAATAAACATCCATTTTTCGCATCGACCATGTTTATCGCGAAGCTAACTACGTTGTGGATTATCTTGCTTTTGTGGGCCATTCGGCTCTGATTGAGTATATTGGTTGTATTATGACTGTATAGGGATTCAAACTCCCACGTCTGGTTCGTATGAAATAAAGGTTAGGGTCCCCTGCCCTTAGTGCCCTGATTGAAAAAAGCATCCATTTCTTTTACAAATAAAATCCATTTTTTTACAAACAAAATCCATTTTTTTACAAATAAACATCTTTTTTTTTATACAAATAAACATCCATTTTATTCCGCTAATCCATGCCGCGATGCAAAAAGGCAAGGCAAGGTCACTACTTACTAGTCACTACGTTGGATAAGATTATAGGAGCTCGGACAGACACCTAGCAACACCAAACGAACCACACAATCCCAAATTGGAATCATATTCTTGAGTTAATTTTAAAGGTTGCGGGAGAGGTTTAGTTTCAATTTCAATCGGGCTACGACAAAACAATTAGGGTGGCTATACAGTCATGTCCAATTAAATTAACCTGAATTGATCCGATCCCAATCCGGTCCTTTCGGAAATATAAGGACTAAAAATTGAATTGGATACAATCCGGTATTGACCCAGTCTGATCCCAATTCAGTCTTGATTTTATATTGAACTTGTGTGAATTTGAGTGGTATGAGGCCTGAAACGGTGATGAGTTGCTAGTCTCCAGGTGACTTATAAGGATAGCCACACAGCATATGACGTCTCCTAGTAAATTTCGAAAGCAGGATTACTATGTGTGAGTCAGCGGGCCAGAGGTTGAGAAGTAGGAACAGGATGGGACATCTCTCCTCTATGGCATGAAGACCATTCAAGGGAACGTTCCCTCGACCCACCACCACCACCCAGTCACCTAGTTGCAGTCGCAGAAAACGTTTTGACTATGAGCCATCAGCCAACTCACAGTTGGCCGCCAACCAAATTGGAATCTGTATTCTCTGCCTACTCTGAACTAAGATGAAGCAACCTTTCACCAATCCCATCAACTGGGTTGGGGCCTCCCCACATAACATTACTGTTCTTCCTACAATTCATAGAATGAATGCACAATTTCCAAGTCCAGTTAAGGAAGATTTTGAGATCAAGATATAACCAGATGGGTACATCCTCGGATCAAAGGGGCTAATTTAATGGAGTTCAAAGACCATCAGCTTTGAACTGCACGGGATGAAGAAAACCAGCTGAGTATGGAAATGAAATCCTAGGAAGCCACATACGTTGGGAGCTGGTGAGTAGAAAGAGAAAAGCCACAAAGCTACATCAAGAATGTGCTGATGAGCCCCTCGGTACTAAGCTTTGAACTGACTCATAAATCGATATCTTGTGCCGACCAATTAACTCAACAAAGCACACGACACAAAGAACCAACCCAATTGAGCACAAACAAGAACTTCTGATTTGCACTCTCTACCACAAATGATTTCATTCCTATATGAGAACTATATATATGTATACATAAGCAAAAACCAAACCGAACAACTTACCATTTTAGTTTACAGGGAATGAAGAACTCATAAGACATACATTTATCATCATCATCAAGCAGAGAGGGAAAGACAGAAACTTTGCACCTGGGTAGTTGATCAACAACGCAAATCACAGCTCAAATCCACAAAACGATGACATCTCAGCAACCCAATTGGAGGATGTAGGATACTCCAAAACATCCTGCAAACGGTTGCAATCCGTAGACCCAGCACCAACTCCATCCAGCAACCCATCAAAGAAGCCTTCCTCCTCTTCGTATTCCCTCATTGCTCCGCCTAATTTGCTGCCCTTGACTTCTTCTTCTTCGCCTTCTACAGCAGGCATATGGCCTTCGAACAGGGCCATGTGCCCAAACAACTTGTCCTTCCTTGAAAAGCTAGTCCCACAGGAACACTTCCACCGCGACTCGCCACAGTGCTTCAGGTGGCTCTTCAAATCGGCCACAACAGAGAAATTCTTCTTGTGGCAGCGATTGCAGGAATACAACTTGGGGCAGTGGCTTCTCTTGAAGTGGTTCTTCACACAGATAACCGACTTCAGAGCCCGAAACTTCTTGTGCTTCCTGTTCCTATTGCATCCTTCGAAGGGGCAGGAGAATCTCGACTTCCTCGTCCCGTCGCTGGTCGCCGCCGCGGCGGGCTTTGCCAGGGCCTCCGGGGTCTTGAATTGGTTCCCGTGGGCCCTCATGTGCATCCTCAGATTCGCGTCGCGCTTGAATCCTTTCCCGCATATCTCACAGAAGTGGGCGTGCTCCGCCAGCAGCTCCACCGCGTCCAGCTCGACTATGTCGCCGCTGCCGTCGGAGTCGCCCTCTTCCCGGTCTACTTCATCCTTGAATTGGAACGACAGCTGCTTCTCTTGCTCTTGCTCTTTACCTTTCTTCCGATCCGGGGGATAGCGGAGCTCGGCAGGCATTGGAGGCGGCTCAATGGATTGAGAGCAAGCGAGAAGAGCGGCGCCGTTGACGATGGTCTGTTGGATGGCAGAGGAGATTTCGGAGGACACCATTTCCATCTGATTTTGGCTGATTAGTGTTTTGCCATTGACCGATTCAGCCAGGAACCGCTGCAACAAATCCAATCTCTCCCTGACTGCAGACAAGTTCATCAGAGGAACTCGTGGATCGGCGGCGCTTCCCATTCCCACAGGAACGTTAATGGACATTTTTGGTGAACCTAAGGGCCTTCCTCACCTTCGTTCTCGTTGTTGTTTTTTTTTTCCCCCAATTTTTTCTTTGGGGATTTGGACTTTGAGAAGCCAGTCAACGAGAGAGATCAGAGAAGAGAATGAACTGTGGCTAAAAAGCAAGTTTAGTCCCCAGACCATGTTAATATGTCCATATAAGTACCTGATATAAATTGTGAGTTTTTTATGAATGAGATGCAAATTTTATAGGTGTGGATCGGGCGGGTTCGGGTCGGGTTCAATCGGGTTGTGGGTTAGTCAGGTTTCAGGTTCGTAGGATTGCGGGTTCATCGGTTCGGATTCAATTGGGTTGCGGGTAAATCGAATTGCGGGTTCATTGGGTTTCAAGTCGGGCGGGTTGCGGGCGGATCGGGTTGCGGGTTGTTCGGGACAACGCATAGAGTTACTTACTCCTTACTCGCTACCAACTTACAAATTTTATTACAATAATTTAAAATATTTTTCACAATTTTTAACCAACTTATTTCTACCTCATATATATACTTAAGTTTTTTTTTAAAAAAACTAGCCAAAATGTTTAGTCAATTTGTATGATGTGCAAACTTGTCATGTAATTAACCATAATTGGTAAAGTGCACTAGATAATAGTAATGGCGATATCAACATTTGCGACCAATAGACACTATTAGCAAACCAAACTAAACACCACTCTAAAAACAAAGAAGAAACACTTTTTCTTTTCTCAATATTTTTGCAAGTTGTTGTCAATCAATAATCCAAATTTATATTCATATGCAAAATCTAGACAAGACACTAATATTATAAACAACAGTTTATGAGAGATGAAAATCGGACTTTATATTAAAGGAATTGAAACGTAGGTGGGTCGAATTGGTGAGAATTTTCCCTCATTAGATTTTCATTTTGGTAGGGACAAATTGTAGAGTGAAAGCAAAATGAGAAGAACGAAAAGTGGGGAGGGAAACATTGAAGAAGTGAAAAGTTGGGATGAAGATATCAAAATGAGAGGGGGAAGTTTCACACCTAAATGAAAATGAGGTGGGAGAATTAGTGAGTAAAATTAAGTTTCCAACCTAAATGTAAAATCATATGCATTTGACATAGGATAACTCTTTACATGTTCTCAAATCTACTATCAAATTAGTCATGTCTAAAAGCTATAGTAAGGTTTGGTATAGACTATAGAGTATAGACAATATTTTAGTCACTAAATGTTACACTCTTAAATCATTATATGTAAATATTGTGATAATCAAATCGATAATTAATTAAACTTGTAAATAATCATATGTAAACATTGTGATAAACTTTCTCTTATTTTTCTCTTAAAAAATAAAAATACAAAATTTTCTCTAATTTTCTTTTCATAAATAAAAAACATCAAAATTTCTCACTTTTTTATCTTCCAATAAATCAAAAGCACCAAATTTCTCTCTTATTTTTTCCTCAAAAATTTGAAAATATCAAAATTCTCTACTTCTTTCTCTTCCAATAAACCAAAGCACCAAAATCCCCCTTTCTTTCTTTTTCCAAAACTTGAAGCACCAAATTTCTCTTTTCTTTTTTCTCAAAAAAGTTGAAAACACCAATATTTCTCACTTCTTTCTCTTCCTATAAACGAAAACTCTCCCCCCCCCCCCTCCTTCTTCTTTCTCTTATTTCTTTTATTAAAAATACATAATTTCAACTCAATAATCATTTTTTAACTTTCCTTTATAAAATAAAACAAATAGTTTTATTTAGTCTTACAACAAACAAACTTCATTTTGAAAATTTATATAATATATAATCTAGTAATTATTCGGGTCAATCGGGTGGGTTACAGGCTAGTCGGGTTTGAGCCAATCGGGTTTACGATTATTCGGGTTACGGGTAATCGAGTTGCGGGTCATTGACTTTTAGTCCATTCAGGTTGCAGATCGGGTTATTCGGGTCAGGTTCTTTTTGACACCTATAGCAAATTTTAGATAGAAAATAATTTACTAAGAAATTGCTTTAGCCAGAAAAACAAGAGATAAAGGAAACATTTGAGAATATGCTAGATTTAAGGGTTGCAATTTGATATTTTATTGTGTAAATGCCATATTTGGTCACTAAGATTACTAAATGTTTCATGTTTAGTCACTAGAAAAATTTAATATAAATTTTGGTCACTCGAATTTAATATCCCTAATTAGCTTGTATGTGCTTTTGCTTCATACCATCAACTAACTAATGATAAATAAAGAAGTAAGGACAACACTCGGTTAGGTTTGAGTAGTAACTATTGAAAGACCCTGTGAAATACAAACATAGACATATCTAAGATATTTATCACTCGATACTTTATCAGTCAGCCTCCTGTTGACTTTGCGCACTACGACTCCTTGATCTGCTACTCTCGAACGATAACCGTCTATTGTTCGCATTTGAGGAGATCGGAATAAATTGATATTATGATTCTGAGTTTCCTTATTCAACATCTCTCTCATACTCTTCAATGGCGCCCGCCTTCTCGCATTACAAGGCTCATTCCTCCGAGGATGAGGATATGAACTCCTCGAAGGATCAACCTCCGTCACATTTGCTTGTGGTGGATCGGATGATCATTGTGAATGGCTATATGAAGATGCTTCATCTTTCTTGCCTTTGCCTTTGTGGCGTCCCATCGTTCTATCAAACATCTTGCTCATTCATGTATTCATAGAAGATAAACCAAATGAATATAAAGAAAATCTTTCACTCCATAGTTTAAATCGTGGTATCTTCTAAAAGCTAGCTATGTGAAACTCTTAAGATAAACAATCGTAAAATAGGATGACCAATGGTAGAATCATCTATCATAATAAGACATTTAAAAACATGCAAGGATACAAACGTTTAAGCTCATAAAAAGTGATGGATGGTTCACCACTATACTAATCATGAAAGTATTAGACAAAACATAGTTCACACAATTAATCAAAAGGTACATGCAATATCAATTGAAGCTTTTGGCACAAGTAGAATATATAGCATTCAATCCAAATACTTAATCGATTGCAATTTTAAGCAATGAACATCATATATATTCAAACATCTTAAGCACATAATTTCATAGCATTCAATGCAAATACTTAATCGATTGCAATTTTAAGCAATGAACATCATATATATTCAAACATCTTAAGCACATAATTTCATGAAATTTTGGCATGAACTTCATTTAAAATCATCAATTCATTAAAAATCATAAGACATTTAGAAATCAAAGGAAATAAATTTAATTTAATTAAGAGGTAAAATGCTACAAAAAGTGTAACTAGTGAGTTCTAAGATCTGTACCACACTAAAAAAAGGTCTACAACAAGGATTATTTTCACCTATAGCAAGGATTTAAATCCCTGCTACAGAACATAGCAAGGGTTATACCAACTCTTGAACCAACCTTTGACAATGCTGCCTCTACTACATGTAGCAAGGGTTTTGAGTGACCCTTGATGGAAGTCTCATGTAGAGGTTGTACCAAGGTTTTGAAACCCTTAGAACATTAACAAGGGTTTAAAGGGTTGTACCAAGGGTTTGAAACCCTTGCAACATTAACAAGGGTTTAAAACCCTTGTTGTACGTCACTAACATTGAAAGAGATCTACTTACGTATAGCAAGGGTTAGAACCCATGCTACGTTTCGCTTAGATTAAAACAAATTAGCATCAATTTTTCGTTGCTAACCGTCGCTAAAGAAATGGTCGCTAATATCAAACTTAATTGCATCTTTCATAAACACTTTTTGGTTACTAAAAGTGACATTTTCGTCACTGAAGTTAGAAGATTTACGTCACCATATGTGAACCCATTTGAGAGGACCGCAAATTGAGTTTTCCTATTTATTCAAAATCAAATAAATAGTGAACAAAAATACTTCAATAAACTGTGTTTTTTTATTATGATATCACTCCATAACCAGTTCAATGATTAACAATCTTAAAACAATATCACTTAATATATAATTCATATGATGTTCAGAATATTCTAAACATATTCTGAACACTAGAAAATATAGAGTTACACCTTGATGATCTATAACTCAGTCGAGTTACACCTCTCATTACCAACCGCATACAATATGGTATCTTCTTCGTTTTTAAGTCGTTTTTAAAAAAAAAAACACAGAAGGAACGAGATCATCATGATCTATTAGATCTACGAATTTCTAGGTCAACAAAATACATGACCAAAAAATACCACACAATACCACCCTGGTACGGGGTGGTATCTTGTGGTACACAATTTTGAAAGTCGTAAATGACACTCATACTATCATGTATTCAACCATCCTACAGTCTTGGTATGTTCATACCACCATGGTACGCTTTATTACCATATGGTATGTTCTTATTTCAATACCGTATGGTATAGAATGATAAAAAATGGCTCAAATTTTTTCCAAAAATATATCAAAGTGGATATTATTTTAAAGAGCATAATTAATCTGATCTAACTGTGCAAAAAAAAATCCAACTTAAAACGAGTGAGAAATTGTCCGTTAAAGATTAAGAAGAAAAAAATTAAAGACTTTACAAAAGAGAGAAGAGGCGTTGATGTGGCGATGGTGATTGGATTATGCATGGTTACTGACCTATGGGTTACTGACCGGATTCGCTCCTCTTGTCGACTTTAAAAGCTGAAGCAGGACCAAACACCTTTAAAATCTCGATTTTTGAAAAGTCGAAAAGTGTTTTTGTATAACATAAAAGCAGAAGCTCTACGAAAAGTTGTCTTGAGAAACTTGATTTCAGTGAGTAATGGATTATATGGTTACGAGTTGTTTGACCTCTCCGACTTTCTCTGTTCTAATGAAGGAGAAGCCATATGGGTACATTCAGGCAACGCGGGGCTTGGGTATGGCAATTCCTTGTCCCTCTTCTGTTTTCCATTTGCACCAACTACCAAGGGCTTTGCTGCTTTGCTCTAGCAGGAGTGCAAGTCTTTACTCATCTTTTTATTAGCCCTCGTTGCCTTGTAATCTCACATCTGTTCTTTACGGATGACTCATACCTTTTTCTGTGGGCTCCACGATCTCAATATGTTAACCAAATGGGAATTTTGAAGCAGTACGAGTAGTTCAGTGGTCAAAAGGTTAATTTGGCTAAATCTGCAGGATGTTTCATTAGGAATTTTCCGTTTCAAAGGGTTTCTTCGCATAAATAAGTGTAGTGGATACAAAAGTTAATCATGTATCCACTAGAGTTATTAAAAACTAATGAATAAACTGTATTATTATTCATCACATTTACAGCTACAATTTGCAACAAAAGAATGGTGATCATAAAAAAACAAAGGGTTCGGAAAGAAAACAAAAACAATCGTTATTATTAGTTAGAAGAGGATTAATAGTGTGCATAATCATAAATCATGGACCCCGAGCGACAATCATCACCGTTATCATAAACCTCAAGCAGCAGTACTGGATTTTGTGACCAAAACCTAGTTCACCCCCGCCGGTGTCGGTGCTCGGCCTCCCATCGCCGCCGTCATTTCCGTTATGGCCTGCGTCGTTTTCGACCACCGTGGCGGCGGGAGAATGATCTTCTTGGAGGTCATGATCATCAGCGAGCAAATGAGGCGGCGGCGGCTGACGAAGCTGCTGACGCTCCCATTCTTCTGCGTCCATTCCCCACTCCACGTAATCCACTCCCGCCATAGCTAATGCTTCCAACGATATTGATAACATGGTATCGCCAGCTTCTTACTAACAAAAGTGATTTGCTTTAATGAATAAAATGCGTTGGATATTTTCATACAAGTGTTGGTGTATATATATATATGATGTGGCTGGCAAGTTCGCCCATGTTATACGTACGAACGTAAGCTTTTTTTGGTGGGTTCACGGGCATAGAACCATATATAGATGACTGGTAACTAGTTTTATCAGAATAATCAAACGGTGGAAGTTTTGATTGACTTCTGTATGGACGATTCAACGTTGAAGAATGAAGTTAATGTCTTATATGTCTGAGGGAAGGATATTGTTTGGAACTACAAATAAATGAAAGCGTTCATCTCGTGACATTCATATTCATGCATATGCGCATATATATAATAAGATGATGACGCGCATGCACGTATACACTTATTACGTAGCAAAGGGGAAGAGTTCTTAAGGGATGATGGTAGCAGTGATACAATTATATAGGGTAGTTTGGAGGTTAGAAGTCTAAATCTCTAAAGTCTAAATAATTCGAAGATTCTAGTTCTTCTGATTGTTGAAAAAAAACATGTTTATTATTTGATAACTATGATCTTTAACATTTAAACAAAATAGTAATTCTAATTATTTATCAAATGAGAAATTTATCCTTAACTAAAAGAATATATAAGAGTGGCTAGATAAATATTAAAAAATTTATTTGCGAGGGTATCTGGTGGAGAGCCGCCCTAGAGCGAGAAAGTTAGGGTTTTGGAGTGTTTTAGAGAGGGAAACACCTTGGGAGAACATCATTGAAGATCCAATCCAGTGCAAGCAAGGAGAAGAAGATTGATTTCATCATTTCCCCTCCTCTAGTTTGTGCACTACAATGAAAATGTTGTTTTGCGTCGGTTGAGTCATATCGGTTCAATGAACCGACACAAAGTTTAGGTTTTGCGTCGACTATTTGTGTCGGATAATGAACCGACACAAAATTCAAACTATTTGAGTTGGTTATATATTGTGTCGGTTACAATCGACACAAATTATAAAATATTTGTGTCGGTTAGAACCGACACAATATGTTGAATTGCGTCGGTCACAACTGATACAAAATGACATTTTATTTATCAATACAAAAAATCAGATTTTATATTATGTCGATTTGATTTGAGTCGGTTTAAACCGACACAATTCATTGAAATTTCAACCAAAATTGAAAATTTAGACCACTACCTCCCTATTCAGTTCTTCTTCTTCTTCTTCTTCTTCTTCTTCTTCTTCTTCTTCTTCTTCTAGCCATTTGGGGAAATCAAATCTGATCCCTCTTTCCATCTCAGCCTCCTCAGACATCATCTCCACCTAGGTTTATACCGCGTCACTTATGTCAATAAGTTTATAGTCCGCGTTTCAATTATGTCCTCTCTCGTTTCGTTGACTATTAAACTTGACGATCAACCAAACAGCGGTCAACAAATTGTTGACTTTTGTGCCCATGTGTCTGCCATGTCATCGACACATCATAAATATTTTTTTAATTAATGAAAAAAGAATAAATCTTTTCACTCACATTTCACCCACCACCTATATTCCTTCTATCTCTATCTTTCTCATTTTATCTTTCTCAACAAGCAGAGTACGAAGAGATGGCGGTGACCAAGACAAGAGCGGGTTGGGGGAGAAGAGCACAATAACGTTGACGACGGCGGTGCTGTTTGGGAGGGTAGTAGATATGAAGACAGAGGGAGGGCGACAATTTGGTGCAGCAGGCGACACACTTGCGGTTCGGCGGAGACGACACAATTGGGCGGAATCGGGGGCAGTGAAGACGACTCCGAGGTTGCGGATCGAAGGCAAGAGTGACAGATCGAATGGTATACTGACGGAGGTGGACTGGGTACCAGATTGGAGGATTTAATAATCTAAGTTTGACGCAATGAATGCAAGAAAAAAAGGGAATAGCTTAAGCGAATCGAGTTGTGCTAGTTCTCATGTGCCTAGGAGTGTTCATAACTGTCCAACTGTTGTTCTTGTCTCTGGAACTAGGAGGAATCCAGGGAGAGAGTTTTATCGTGGGCCATTTTGGAATCAAGAAACGGTGGATTGAAAATACTTTTTGTGGGTGGGTCGGCATTGTCCTGCTAGAGAAGAGGCTATTGTTCAAGCACTTTCGACAGAGAACGATGATCTGAAGCAGCATATTTGTTCACTTAAAATGAGATTGGCAACTGCTGAAGATAAGGGCGAGCAAAGGAAGATGGCAAAGCATTGCTTCTGCCATGATTTAGATGAGCTTAGGGAGGAAATGTTAGTTTATCTCGTGAGCTGAAGATGGTGGGAACTAGGTTGTCGTTTGTTTCGTATATGCTTATAGTAGTGGATTTGACAGTGCTCTTTGTATGGTTGCATTGAGTTTTCATGAGTTTGTATATCTAGTGGTTTGTGAGTTTATGTATGGTTTAAGAGCTAATGTAACTCTACTTTTCAAGTTTCATTGTGGCTTGATTATGACATAAAAGCAAGGAGCTTGCTATCAAAATAAACAAACTGATTATACCAACATAACAATAAACTTGATATTACCAAAATAATCATCATCCTCCTGATTATACAACCAACAAGGGTGCTGCCAAAATAGAATTGTAGCATAGAGGAATGCTGTCAAAAGAGAAATGCAGTCAACAAGGCTGATGTCAAAAGAGAAGTACAACTACTTGTTCTTGACTATCACCCATCAACTACTACAACTACTACATCTAAGGCAACTACTACTATGTCTACTACTAATTAGAATCAGACACCACCAATACTACATATTTGATTGTTGGGTTGCAGGAGGTTGAGATCCACCAACTTCAGCCTATTTAATAATCATAGGAGTCTCTCCACCTCGTCCACCTCAACCACCTTGACCACCTCGACCTCCACTTCCACCAACATCAGCATGTTCAATAATCATAGGAGTCTCTCCACCTCCTCGTCCACCTCGACCATGAAACCCCTCTTCTAGCTCGTACTGGCTGACCTCGCCAAATTCCAGAAGCTTACAATAAGAATCAACAAATTCATTGTCAAGATACTATTATCCATATCAAAATAAGTCAAGCAATGAAGCAAAAGTCTCACCCTAACATCTTGCAGTTGTCTAGGAGGTTGCTGGCATTGTCTCTTGTTGTGCCCTTGCTGCCCACAATTTGTACAGTTGTTGGGAAGATTCTTTCTAACCAAAGTGGTACCTCCGGCTCAATGTGGAGCTTCGTCGAGCTCCCCGGGCCTTTTCTTCCTCTTCTTCTTTGGACGACCGACCATTACCTTGAACTTCGGGGAGTAAACAAGGTACCCAACAGCCTCGGGCCAAACTTTTTGGCCATACAAAGCAGGCGGACCATCCATATAAGCATTCTTGGCAAATGAAACATGATAGTAATTGTGCAGATAACTAACATGGTTAAACATTTTCCAAGCAATGACAAAAAGGGCATGCTGGCATGGGATTCCTGTCAAACCTCATTGCCCACATGTGCAAGTCATATCTATTAAACTTACAACGTACCCTTCAGTTCTGAGCGCCACCTCAAACTTACCATGCAAAGCTGGTCGTGTGGTCCATCGTCGACCAGATTGTACACCCTTGTCAATCTGCTTTCATATCCGAGGACACAATGCATCAGTAATAGCATTCGTTCTCTTATTATTGTCCATGACCCGAACTATTAGCTTCCTCCGAATTCCCTCACGTATATCAATTATCCACATCTCTCTGTCATCCACGATGTAGAAGTTGAATGTCTTACAGATGTTTCTCTCCACAACATCGCTCTTAGGGGTGTGAGACATGAATGCCCTGCAGAAACGATGAGGCTCTATTTCCATAAAGCTCGTGAGAAGAGTTGGATCTGCACCACTTGCTTGAATCTACTCCATCAATGCAGTTTTACTTCAAAAAGCATTCTCATTAGTGTTGTAAACACCCTCCCAATATAGATCCCTCACTCTCTAAATCTTATGGCCCACCTTCCAATTAGCCAAAACATGCCAAGGACATTTTATGTGATGTGTTGCAGGCAACACATTATCGAGTGCTTGGACAATACCCTGAAACAGAGATGAATGTTAGTACATAATAGCAGCCACAAAAAAAGAGATTAACAAGTTGCAGCAAACACAAACCTTTTGATGGTCTGAGATGACGGTCCATCCACGCCCATCTTGAAAACCAAGCTCTTCATGAAGTGCTCCCACAAACCAATTCCACGAGTCACTAGTCTCTCCTTCCACCACAACCCAAGTTATAGGGTACATTCTGTTGTCCCCGTCCTTTGCCACGACACTAATCAACATACCCTTGACTTCGCCTTTTAGAAGAATCCATCTAGGGCAAACATAGGAATGCACCCCTCTAAAAAACCTTTCATAAGGCTTGAAACCCCGATGAACAGCCTCTTGAAAAGAACCCTACCCAGAATATTGGAAGGGTCGGCCTCTAAAACAAATCTGCCAGTAGGATCAGCCTTTTATAGCTCCGCTATGTATGACCGTATCTAGTTATACTCCTCGACTAAGCTTCCTCCTAGCAACTCTTTGACATACATATGTGCTCGATAAGCATGTCTATTAGAAACATCAAGAAAGTAGTCATACATATGTGCTCGATATGCATGCCTATTAGAAAAATCTCATGTCGTTAAAGATTTTAAATGACTTCAAGTGAACATATGTTAATAAAAAAATTTAGAACCGTCAAAACCATCAATACCTTATACCCTAACCATATACACCCTAACCATCTGTACCTTATACCTATACCCTAACCATATACTTTATACCCTAAACAACGAACCGTCAAAAATTACTTATCAAGTTTAGTATAATTGTTGGCTCATTTTCACCGGTCCATAAATTTTTCATTCCAAAGTTCCCATCCAAAGCTCCCTCTCATTTTCCATTCCAAAGTGACCCGCAACCCGATTAACCAAAATTTTCAAACCCACAACACGACTGAGTTATTGCAATCGCAAGACTTAACAGGCCAAGTTTAACACCCATTTTGAAATGAAAGTTCAACTTTAACACAACATAAATGTCCGAAAATTTTAC